CCACGAAGTTTTTACCATCACGTCACCACTGCTTGATTGACTAATGTACTATTTAATTGATAGTTGATAAACCAATTTGGTTATGCAGGGTAGTCGGTCAAAGAATGGATAAATCATTTAATTGATCAAGTCTATTGGGCATGGACCTTATAAACATTGGTTTATAAAGCTCATTTCGCCGGGCTCGACCCAGGAACAGCCCGAACCCAACTCAAGTCCCAAAAGAAACCCTACAAGAATGTACCTCCTCAATCTAGTATAAATAGGGGTCTCCTCACCTTCTATTATCCATGAGTTATTATCTTTTGGAAATAGTACAAGGGATCTGAGAAACTAACGGTTTTCACGACTCTAACTTACCCAAAAGAGTCTGTCTTATACATTACGTTGGAACATACTATCATCGTAATTTTTGGTGTGTGATACATCTTTTCGTATAATCCACAGATGGTGCCTGCCCCATAAAAACCCATCTCCCATTTTTTCTTTTCCCCCACTTCTTATCGAAAGAATTCTCACTATTCCCATCTCATTATATTCTCATTGTTATAATATATTAACTATATATTGGCACTAAAATAATTGATTAAAGCATTTCATTTAGAGAAATGAAGAAGGAAAATCTTCGAAAAATATAAAAGAAAAAAGTGAAACATGTGATGTGATGATCAAAGTAGGGCATAACTCAACATAATCAAGACAAAATGTCTTCGGAATATTCATTTGTCCATACTCTAACCCGAGAACATCGCATTTGCTTCAACACTGATCTCTAATCTCCTCACAATAAAACAAAATGCATTATGCAAAGATATATTCGGATATTCCCACTTGGTTTGCCCCATAACTATTAATTTTCCTCTGAAATCTATTTGAATGATAATGATTGGATCGCATTGTAGAGACACACACACACACAAAAAAAAATGTGAAGCTTTTTGGCCGATGCACACGAAACTTATCTCTATATGCATGGCCTTAAAAAGTAGTGGTGCAAACTGCAAAGTATGTGATGTATGATAAAGAGATCGTCGAAATCTAATCTTTAACATTTGCCCCACAAGTTAGTGGAAGTCTCTTAAGTTCTTTGCACGAAACTGAACCATTGTGGTTTTGTCGGTTTAATTCCCACTTATTCTTGCAAGATCAAGAACGATTGATGGTCTATCGAGACTCGACAGTGACTCCTCTGGTTATTCTTCAAAGAACTCTTACAATCATAATCTTTCTATTTTTTTGGGATGCAACGAAGAAAATGGAACGAAAACACTATTGAATTTGACCATTCTCAATAATAGATGTCTCTAATGATTATATTCTCTTCGAGGATGTATCAATTTCAGACCTTAGAATATGGGCTCTGCGTATTAAAGTGGCGCTTTAAGAAACCCAAAGTGGAGAATAGAAGATTCATGAATGAGTAAAATGCCAAACGACGACGTATGATAAATGTTATCATATAATCAACAATGCAAAAAGATTCAACTGATACCAAATAGCTTTAGGTTGAAGTATTAGATCATCCAAATGATTTTATTCAACAAAGAAAGAGACTTGAATGCAAAACAACATGGATCATTCCATTTCTTGCTTTTGGTCTGAGAGATTCAAGACGGACAGAAAACTCATTCTTCTACTGGCCTTTGACCCAACACAGAGATGTCTTCGTATCGTTTCTGCGCCAAGACAAGTATATCATGTTATGAATGCAAGTATACATAATCATATTATCATTCAGAGACTTTCACAAATACACATACGAGTCGGAAAAATCATGAAGTTAATGGTTGAACTACCTAGCACAAACCATAGAGGGACAAGAACTATACACATTCTAATGTAAGGTAGAAAAGGCGAATCAGGAATCAGAACAGAGTCAAAGTTAGCTGGTTGATTACTGTAAAACAAGCATTCAACTATTAACTGATAAAACAACAAGCAGAGATTGGAGACGATGATACGGAAGGTAGAATGAAACAAAAAACGTGTAAGCAGAAATGTGACCGTTTCCATGTCAAGATTGGCAATACAGAGAACGAAGACGCAATTACCATCTAGACTCCAGTCCAAAAAGACGAGAAACATTAACAGTAGCAATACTGCTGAACAAATTGGGAATTTTTTTAGCAGAATGCACTACTCAGTTTACGGGTACATCACAGTCAAGTTCAGAAGCAGAGAAATGGAGCGTAAAAGGAACGGAACAACTAACAACAATCGCATTCTTCTCCTACCTATTAGACAACAATTCAGCACTGGATTGCATGAAAATAGTATTAAGCATTACGAAATCATAACAACAGAGAGGTAGATTCAT